AAAAACAGCAGATCTCAGTTACTGTTGCTAGCCTTTAATGCGAAAATCAGAACATCATTCAGACCATGGTCTTAGCTCGGAAGGAAAAGCAGTTGTGGCGAAGAGCAAGGAACGCTTTTTAAATGCTTTTTATGCTTACGTAAGAAACCAGAAAGTCGACAACGCGCCACATGCGACGTGCCGCGTTGCTAAGTTCATGCTCCTTTTGTCTGCATTAACGGTAAGTTCACCATACTTGACCAGTGGAATAATGCTGAGCAGTCGTCAGCTTTTGCAGGCGCTGAATCATCTAATGAAAGAAGAGGTGCAGATGATGAGTCTTTTCAATATTATTGAATTTGACGAACTCATTCAAACCTGTCACAAAAGCACTCCGCCTATATGTTCGTCACCGTCTCGATAAGGATTCAGTACGATCTACCAAAGATCATCTGCTTCACTCGGAAGATCTCTCCGAGTTTAATCCGGGATTGCCTGCTGTGTAGGCTAGCAATGTTAACTGTATTTTAATCAGCATATTTCTCCTGTTCGGAGATTGCTTAGCAACTACAGGAAAACTAACCAAAAGCTTCTGCTATGCCATCGATGCAAAAGTAAGCCCAAGTTTTTAAAATTCGACTAGTGCCAGATAAGTGCTATTTTGTAGTTTACCGCATTGTTGACTTTGAATGAGCTTCGCAAGTCCAAGTTACAAAATATCTGTTCAAAGTACAAACAGATTTTGTGTTGGTCATGAAAATGTTCATGTGAGCTACATTAGTTCCAGCTCATTTCAGTTTTTCTAATGGAAATTTGTTCTGTGATAATTGTGTGATTCGATGTTGTTTGGTTTGTATGCAATGATTTGAACAGAAAGAAAAATGAATTATCTTTGAATTTCTTGGTTCTGAATTCGAAAGTTTTTTTTCCTGTATATTGACGAGTTTGGCTGTCAATGATTGACCAGTCCGACAGTATAAGCTCTTGGAGAGAATGTCGAAAATTTTCGAAATCTTCTATTTGTATTTGGTATCATATCAACATTTAATTGAAAAACAGCTCAGAAGTAAGGAAATGTGCAGAAAAAAACGATTTTTTTCTTGGCTTACTCTTAACAGAAGACGAAATGATGAGGAAAAGCTAAATACACGAAAACAGATTCTGCACTTTGCCTTTACAATCCTTATTGCGGAAATGTTGACATAAGAAAATGCGCATGGAAATTCGGTTGTTTCTTACTATCTCTTTTTTTCTCGTGTATCATACCACATCATTTCTAATGTGATTTCTCAAAAATGTGGAAAACAGCCAAAGTTTTTACATTGTTATGATTCATACATTCGTTCGTGTAGCGGGAAGGGATTACGGCGTACACATGAAGAGCAAAGGCGTACAATTCACGTCGAATTTGAAAGTACGAGGAACAGAAAATGTCCAGAAAATATAAAGCCATTATATAGGTTTCCCTCATACTTTTTCACGCTTTTTCCAAAGTTTTCTAAACTATTCGCCAAATGGAGTGAAAATTGAAACCTTTTTCTTGCCGTACAAATCTATCTTCATCTTTTCAGATGTCATCTGATTTGCTTGGACAACTGAGCTGAAAAATGAGATATCGGGCGTCGAAGAACAGTATTTTTCTAATATCGTTTGCAATCAGTAGAGGACAAAAAGTATGCGAACAAGTTCACATCTGTTCTACTTGTTGTGGCAATGCTGCTTACACTAAATATCAATTCACTAGGTTCAATTTTGGCTTTCACTTAATTCGCTGATAGGCCAAACACGTTTGATGGAAATCGTGGGAACTTCAACTTTCCCCATTTTTTTCTAAACCTTGCGTGCAAGTGTAGCCTTCGATGATGAAGCGTGTCTAAACACTGTTCAACAACCTCCTTGCAACAAACCCTATTGAACTTTGAGATGATTTCTACAAATTTTAGAGAAATGTAAAGTTCCAAACAATGACGACGAGTTTTGTTTTGGTTGTGTTAGTATTTTATATAATCGCCTCTCAAATAAAATCGCAGCAGAAAAAAAGAAATAGAAAAAAAGTCAAACGATTGGAAAACGATGAAAGAAATTTGTAGAGCAGGAAAGAATATCAAAATATAAGCATTACTTGCGATCAT